GGTAAAAGACTAATTGAACTGTTCCTCGAAAAACTCTGCCCATCGTTCGACATGTCGTTAGATGTTAGTGATTAAAATTCTGTTAGCTCCATAAAATATCCTACTCATATCAGAATCCTTGTTCCCTCTGGCTCAGGTTAATGTATAACGGCTTCCGACAGTTACCAGATGTAGCTGGTGCTTGCAACCCGTTAGAACTCTCCGACCACTAGATCCTCGAATTTTACATTTTTTCCTTGCGTTATAATCCACTTCTATCGGTAAACTGACAATTTCCCTGAGTCGACATACGTCATTCAAGGAGTTGTATGTAGCCTGTAGACACTAGTGTTCATAAGTGGGAATAGAATCTAAAACAGGATGGTAATTCGAGACTCACTCTGATTGCACAGTAAAATATATATCTTATCATTACCATCAGCAAAATCATGAATTTTGATTAGAATCTGAGCTAATTCATTCACTTTAGCCACTATTTAGCATTGAAAAAGTAAGCAGTAAAACCGCAATCTAATTGAAACAATACAGATTTGTGTATTTTCAGTGAAACTACTGAACATTGAACAGTTAATGGTTTATTACAATATAAATTTCTAAAAATTTTGCTAATAAATCAACCAATAAAACTATATTTTTAACTATTGTATCAGATCACAGTTTTTTTAAATAATTGAAGTTATTTTTTTCAACTTTTAGTTTCATATTTATTACCATTTACAGTTTCTCACCCCGCCCCTTCCCCCCACTCAGAATAACACATAAAATAGTAAAGTAAGGTAAATTTTTTAATTTACCATTCTATTTTTTATAACTTTCAGAAATTATCATTGGTAATCATTACAATTCTATTGTTTGGAAACACACAAATGAAATGAATATCGAGTGTATAGAAGATTTACAAGATCCGATGTTCATGATAAATGAATGAACTCGTCCAATTTAGATTTATCATAAAAATTATATAGTTTAGGTTATATTTCATCTATTCGAATGCAATATTTATCTGTGAATGTAATTATTATATTTTATCGTATTTGTTTGTTTTATTAAAATAATAAAGTAAATTGAGAATTATGTGGGAAGTTTGTTTTTGTGTTGATGTTGACATATTTAAAATTAATTAGTGTTGGGTTATTTGATCTGTTGAATTATTTTATATAACACAAATTAGTTAGTGAATAAATAATCTCATTGCCTAGTTGGTCATTTATTTTTTATTTTACTAAATCCTCTACCTACACACGTGAATATCTACTTGATTTATTTATGTTAATCTATAATTATTCTATGTAGAAAATAGTGTTGTTTCATGTGTGGTGTGTACATTTGATTTGATATTATTAATCATCATTTGTCCATTGAAAAAAAAAACATTTGACTATTGAAAACATTTAAACTGATTTCAAATTATTTATCGATTTAATCCTTGATAAAATCTATTCACATACAAGGTAAAGTAAAGAATATGTTAAAATGTGTATACCCATATATATTTCATTGATTATTGAATTTTGAAAAAGAAAACAATCAAATGATTTCATTTTAATAATTAGTGAAACATTCAATTGCTTTTTTTTAAATTTTAATTGAAAAAATATATTTGCTACAAATTGATTATTGAACATGGAGTGCATATCAGTCAGTATAGGTAAATAATCTTTGTCATCAACTCGTATCTACTAAGTAGTTGTACAACTAAAAAACCCTAACTAAGATGAAATCACTGTTCAATATACTCTGATTAACAATGGCTATAAGGGGAATATTGTTACCGAATAGTAACCACTACCAAATCTGACGATGTATATGTAATACTTATCTAAATCATATGTATTAGTGACAAACTTTTATCATTACGGGGTTGTGAAGATTGTTATGTTTTTGTGAAATCATGAATCGATCAATGTTAGACCACCATTAGAAACCTGGAAGCACTGGACGACCGTTTCGTCCTGGTATGGATCTCCTCAGCAGTGCGCATCCACGGCTCCTGATCCCCACAGGATTCGAACCCAGGACCTTCAGTATTGTAGGCGAACGCCTAACCAAAAAAAACTTTTATCAGTCACTGTCTAAAATACTGAGTCATAATGTTTACATCCGCAAGTTCAGGTTGTGAAATCACCGAGGAAAGGGGAATAATAGCAGGCCTTAAATCTATCCTTAAGGACCTAGAAGTTATAAATAAAACACAAGGTTAACTACAATAATACTATTTCGTGACCCTGAATTCGACTCCAATTTAGACCAATGATTGAATAGGCTATGAAAGAAATCTTTCATCTAATTTCCGTATTTTATGCTTAGGTAACGCTTATGCTACGGCTGTGTTGAACAACCTAATACGGATTCAGTTGGATGAATTTGTTTAATGCAGTCGTTTGCGCAGACAGAAATTAATTTGAAAAATAGTAGGAAAGCAAAGCGAAGGGGAGAAGACGAGTGGGTCAACTCAATAGGCGAAGATTTATTAAGCATTTTTCTTTAGACAAAAATAAGCTAGACATATGATAAGCGAAATAAGCGATGCACATACTCAAGTAAAAACAGCCAAGGTTATAAGCGAATAATTAAGAACGCAGAAAGATATGTAAATAACTGGAGAAGAATGGACTCATTAATTTGTCCAAAGGCTGGGCTCGATAAATATGTAAACAAACTACACTATCTGTACAGTGATAATACTGATTGAAACAGGTGATTTTAAAAATTCGATTTCATGTAAATCATGTGTACATATCAACCTCCGTAAATTTGTAAAATGCAACTATCACATTAATCAATCAATCAATCAATAGCAACGTAGAGCTTTGTACGTACGTACATCAGTTCATGTTGCCGTACCAAATTAACACAGAGATGTAATTGTCAATTCAAATCCAATAGTAGTAGAGATAGTAAGGCTATAAGCCGTAGACAGAGAGGTTAGGATTAGATATTATTCAAGAAGTAGAATTTAGTGAAATAAACTTAAAAAGATAAAGATAAATGATGAGAAATTAAAAAGTTTAGGATTTGAGAGAACACAAAGAATGAATGCACCGATGCCATTGTAAACGGTTTTGAGCCATGTCATTCAGGTTCTCTAACCATCGATTACTATTTTCTCGCGGACCCCAACCAAGTAGCCTACATCCACCAACATGACTCAGTCCATTTGACAGTGACTGCCATGTTTTGGCAGAAATCCATGAAATTTGTGGTTCATATTTTTCATAGACTAGCAGTACCACTGAAAACCCGATATCATTGAAAATCTCTTCCTTCTTTGTGTGCGGGTACTAAACAGTTACTACTCATAGTATCGAATCGAAAAATTTAATTTCGTAAAAATTTGTAAGAATTCAATTTCAGTCAATTTTGATATGACAGAAATGCAATGCAGTTTGTGATAAGTACTTCCCTCTCAAGGTGTCTAAACTATGATCATTAAGATTTCGGGAAATCATTTCAACATAATTTTTCAGTCTACGGTTTTCAAATTGCACCCAGTTTGCCTCATCACTTTTAAATGTCGCCTCTAAATTAAGCTAAATGCCACAAAAAGTTTCATTAGAAATTTTACTGTAGATTTAATGAATTTATTTCCCTAATAAACCATGTCAGGTTGATATTTTAAATGACATTTAGAAAATAAGTTGAATTCTAAATAATCATCATTGACCATTTCAAATGTGATAACGTAACACAATAGGCGATATAGAAAGTTGATACATAGTGAAGAATAATCAGTGTGCATAATATTTCTTATGTTATAAGGTTACATCGAAAAAATCGATTTGTTTATCAACAATCTCATTGAGTTGTCCTCATAATAATTGATATTATTATAAGAGAGTGTAGATATATTCAGTCAGATATCATTTAAGGTAAAAAAAATAAATATTGAGTTTTATTTCATAAAAGTACTTTCTTTATAAATTTAGATATTAAAGTACACTGTGTATATAAATGAAAACATTCGGTTAGTCTGTTTTGATGTCTACAATAAATACAAAAAATTAAATGCTCCGAAAATTTTAAATAGCTACAGAGTTTTTGGACAAATAATTTGGTTTTACATAAATGTAAACTAAGGGTCACCATGATTCTAACAACTGATTTACTATCTGATGACAATACCAGTTAAAAGCACAAGAATGTTATATATAGTTTCTGGTAGATAAACGCGGTAAGCGATGTAGGTTTAGCTAAGTCAGATCAGAGAGAGAGTAAGAGATTGTCGTAAGTTATTTGAATCTAGACATGCACATCACTGAATCTTAGCTCAGGTGTCTGCGCGCGAGTCCATAAGTCCTGCGTATGATCGTTTGCGATCGGGTCGGCAATGTACACAGTTGAAGATTCCTATATTACGATGAAATAGATATGTAATGCTTGTCAGTCCTCATTAGTTAGATAACTATCATCAGTGCCTCATATAATCTGTCCGTACTGTTTACTTAGTTTGTTAACTTGTAAAAATTCTACTAGAAATGTGAACAGCATTCTTTTCATCTCATTGGATCACGTGAGCAAATAGGCAAGTTAGATTTCTTACTATCCACTCCTTCACCAGTTAACATCATACATATATCAAGGGAGACAATGGTTGTGTATGCGGATAATACATTCCTCAATAGCCTCAGTCAATATCTATCCATAACACCGTATCAACGGGTTTGCTGACTCTGCTTAAACATTTCATTGTTTAACTTAAAAACTGAATCATTCGTGGTATGTTTCAAAATTTACAAAAACACTAGAAGATAAATTAAATTAATGAAGAAAATTTATTGGCAAGAAATCAATCTTCATATTTAATTCTAAACTAGAATACAGTGGGAAAATTCTTTTTTTAAATAAGGAAATAATTAGAAAAAAATTAATTAAGTCAATCGAACTGTACAATTATAGTAATAAAATCAATAACTCGATAATTTACATCTTGAAACAAAAAATTCACGAAATAAAATATATAATCAATAAACAACTCTGTGAAAATTCCCAATGCTTAAAAATAATTAAAAAATGAACAAATGCTATCTATGTACAATTGCCTGTTGTTGTTGCTTTCTTTTTCATATTGAATGGTCAAAGTAGAAGGAGACATGTATGAAATGCTTCAAATTGAGAGTAGTAACATGTTATCGATGAATAATGGTCAATTGTAGGGTTTGACTTTTTTGAAATAATTCTTGTAATTCATTTATAGTGAATTGGATAGAATCGATATGATTCACTTGAATAATTTCATCACCAATACAAATTTCATCAGTTGGATTGTTTTGAATGAAATGCTCAGAGAGACGTGTAATACGATAACCTGTAAATAAAAATTTACAATAACAGATGTGATTGCATTTTTGTAACTTATCGAAATTTACAAATGGTATAAAATCCTATATCAATAATGCGATACACAACATTTAGCTCGTAACAAAATACTTGATCAAGATATTATTAACTTTCTGTTTTGCAGTTATCCATTGAAGACAATAGTTGAGGTCGAGCAATATTGTGAACTGATTGAAGTTGGACATTACTGACGTCGGATTGTAGCTCAGTTGTCTAGAGCCTATGTTCGAAACCGAAGTTCGTGAGTTCGGTTCCCGCTTGTGTATTCGTGAGTGCACATAGCTGACGAGCCCCGTACTAGGACGAGACGGCTATCCAGTACAGACAAGTCTCTAGTGGTTACATAACATTGACCGACTCGTGGTCCCAATGAAATTGGACAATCTCCATAACCAAATAGTTACGAGCTGCTTACTATTGTTTGTAACAATATGTTATTTCTTTGTTATCAGTAAAATGTTTATGTGCTTTAGTGATCATTATAAATGATTCTTAGATAGTTTCATGCAGTTCCTAAACCTTTGTCTAAATCGTAGAATATATAACATGATTATAAAACAAAAACACTGTGAGTGAGGCTCTAAAAACGCAGTTCTCTAAATATTTATTAATTATTGTGAATTTCATTTATTTTTAAGCTCAACAATTATGAAATGAATAATTGGGAGATTTATTTAAATGATTCCAAAATATCTACAATTAGTTTATTTTCATTTATTGTTTCTTGAATCTTCGCTCATTGATGTTTAGAACTGATATTGATCATCCTGTGCGGATTGACTTAATATGGCTATTAGTTTACAAGTATTATTAGTAGAGGTAGTTAACTGAGCTCACTAGCTAAGCGGATAACGAGACGGAATCTGAAGTGAACAAAGTGAAGACTGACTGTGAGATGCAAGTATATCCGCCTGATAAGTCGTTTATAGGACGAAACCCACATCCTGAATTCCAAAGATAGTCAGTATACATCTCTACCATTAGAAATGTGTTATCTTTTTAAAATTTATTCCAAAACATTTAACTCTTAATTAGACAAAACAAGCATCAGCAAACTGTACTGTGGTCCTGTAAATAGTACTACAATATTTTATCAATACCCTCATTAATTCAGTGAAATTAAAGAAGCTGATAAACATATAAATTCAGATGATAAATAACATTAACTAATCATCATACGCGTATATTAAATAACGATAAAATCTTGACTTCCATTGTGATATGAAGAGAATCAAAAAGAAGAATTGAAAATATTAACTAGTAACCGCATAAAACATCAAATTACCTTGTTCAGATTTTATTACAAATAAACCGAATGGTTCATCTAAATCAGGTCTGGACAATGTTACATATCGTAAACAAATCTCATCATTATCTTGTGAATGAACATTGTTAGAAATGCTTTCTTTCACTGGATCATTGAATTCAACTGGTAGAATGGATGAAGATGAATCAGTAGATCTCTCATTACATTCAACTGGATTAGTATCTAGTTGATGATCATGAATATTTGAATTATTTATGACAGTTGTTAAATTTGAATTAGAATATCTTAATACATTATACAAACTACTCAATGTTCGACGTGCAGATCGTCTTATTTCTTTAAATATATCAGAACGTCCTAATTTTGATTCTGGCATTGTATCTCCTATATTTGGATCGATATTTTCATCTTGTTCAATATCCAATTGTTTCATTTTCAAACTTCCAGTACTACTACGTCGTGTTGATCGTTTAGTTATATCAATACTCCATCTGCCTTGTTTTTTTGAAGGAACATTTTGTTTTTTTAAATTGGTGGTAAATGGTGATAATAAACAAGAATTGGTGTTGGAAGTACAAGTTGATGTAGTATTATCACTGATAGGTATTTGATTCAATGAATGCACTGACAATTGATCGTTACTATTGATTTTATAAATAAATCAAAAACAACATTGAAATACTTATGAAATCACCCAGAGAATAGTTAATGGAATAATAAACACATTTATTAAATTATCTAATTAAATAAAAAATTACTAAACTTCAAGCATAAATAAAAACCTAAAATGGATAACCGTTAAATGCTAGAACATTGTCAATCAGCTTTAACAAGGAGCAGATTCGTACTTACGTACGTCAGTTCAAGTTGCCATACTACATTAGCACAAAGACGCAATTGTCGATTCAAATCCCATAGTAGTAGAGGTAGTAGATGTATTACCAATAATCAGAGAGATTAGGGTTCGAAGATATTATTCAAGACGTATAATTCAGTGAGATTAGTTTAGAAAGAGAAAGATAGAGGTGATGAGGGATTAAGAAGGTTAGAATTTGAGAGAACAAAAAGAGTGGATGCACCTGCGCCATTGTAAACGGTTTCGAGCCATGTCGTTCAAGGTCTCTAACTATCGGTTACTATCGTCACTCGGACACCAATCAGCTAGTCTGAATCTACCAACATAACTCAGTCCAGTTGCCAGTGACTTTAGGGTCAGTCAGTCAGTTGCAACGTAGAACTTCGTACGTATGTACATAAGTTCATGTTGCCATACCACATTAACACAGAGACGCAAATGTCAAATCAAATACCATAGTGATAAAGATAGTAGAGGTATGTATTAGTGGTAATGAAGAAGACTAGGGTTCGAAGATATTATTCAAGAAGTATATTTAAGTGAGATAAGGTTAGAAAGACATAAGATGGATATGTGTCATATCTTGCTTTGGCCGTTCCAGTCAAAATATTATGGACGCTAATATTTTAGACACCATATTAGTAAAACTGATTCCTTTGTGACTGTCACAACAGGCCTCTTGTCTTTTTTTAGAACATTGTCCAAATATTTCGTGCTGGGAGTTTCATACTGTACTAAAACATTGAATAACGGCTTGAAGCTCCTCCAATACCTCTGCATCTCTGATTTTATATTACCTGAATTAGCATGTCAGCCTGTTTTACAAGTAAACTTGAGTCATTTCATGTAGTAACAATCTATCATGTAGTGACAGTAACTGATATCTGTTCTCATACTTTTTTTTCTAGAACATTTGATGATTTAGTAACTTTGTCGTTATTATTGTTATCAATATTTTTTCTTTATAAATAATAAAAAGCAACTCCTTAAGCATCTGGTCAAGAAATTATTGTGAAATTAGTTTGTCAAAAAATAACCAAATCCTATAATAACAGACTATAACAAGTCATTTTACATTCACACATACACACACACTATCAGTTTCAATAGTAAATGTTTAACTGATACTAGTTACATCATAGAATAATAATTCTGAAAAACGAAATGAATTCTAAAACATTTTAGCAGAAATAACTTTTTTTCACAATCATTCATATTGGTTGACTAGCACAATTAAAACTACACATATACTTACTGATTTCGTAGGTCTAATGTCGATGGAAGACAGACATTTTCTATATTCTTTCGTTTTGCAGGTGTTGGTTTATCTACAACAAATGTGAATATGATTTAACGATAGTTGATCAACTTGTTAATTATATTCGATCAAGCATTAATAAACAAATACGTGTCTTACAAATTTGAACCTATTAATTCGAACCTCCGCCTTTAAATAAATAATATAGTAGTTTGCATGTGACCTGAATTTGTATTTTTGGTTGCTTAGTAATAAGGATATTTTTGTTTCAACTATAATGTTCCAAGTTTACAACGCTCTTCGGTTAATTCTGTTGTGAAAGTCCTGTTACCCCTCGAGGAGCATAGGCCGCCGATCAGTATTCTCCAACCTAATCTGTCCTCGGCCTTTCTTTCCAGTTCTATCCAATTTCTTATTCTTTTCATGCCTGTCCTCAATTCTCGACATTGTGTTTTCTGGTCCTCCTCGTCTCCTTTTGCCTTGAGTGTTCCAAGTGAGGCTTGTCTTGTGATGCAGTTGCGTGCTTTTCGCAATGAGTGTCCTATCTGCCTCCAGCGCTTTTTCCTGGTTTATTCCTCAGCTAGAATCTGGTTTGTCCTCTCTCAAAGTAGGCTGTTGCTAATGGTGTATGGCCAGCAGATTAGCAGTATTTTGCGCAGACAACTGTTGATAAATACTAGAATATTTTAGATGATGGTTCCTCAGATTTCTGAGCCATACATTGAAACTATTTTTATGCTTAAATTGGAAATTATGACTTAGGTGTTAGTTGGTGGTTGTTATTCCAAGTTCCAGATGTTCTTCAGCTGTAGAAATGCTGCCCTTGCTTTGCTAATCCGCGTGTCACATAAGCATCAGATCTACCTTGCTCATCAATGATGCTACCCAGGTATGCAAAAATCTCCACATCTTTCAGTGCTTCCCCGTGAAATGTAATTTGGTTGGTGCATGTAGTACTGTATCTGAGGCTCTTGCTTTTCCCTTGTGTATGCTGAGTTATATTGCTACGGTGGTTATCGCCACACCAACCATGTTCTCTTGCATTTATTGTTGTCTGTGAGATAGAAGAGCTAGGTCCTCTAAGAAATCCGAATCACCTACTGGCATCCTAACTATCCACTCTATTTTGTGTTTCATATGAGATGTTAAGGCGTTCATAATCTAGTCAACCACCTAGAAAAATAGGAAGGATAAGAATAAGCCGTCTTATCTGACACCGATATTCACTTGTTATGAATCTTTTATCTACACTCTATACACGACAGTGCAGTGTAGTCCATCATAAGAATTCCACATGATGTTGACTATCTTCTCAGGTACACTTCAGTGTCGAAGAGGCATCCAAAAATGTCTTCCTGTTCACGCTATGGAAACCTTTCTCGCAGTCACTGAAGTTGATGTACAGTGACGAGTTCCATTCAGCTCCTTGGTCAATAATAATAATGATATAACTAATAACATGGAAATCTGAAACGTATATAGATTACATTACAGAATGTGATGCAACCTAGAAGTTGTTATCTAACGAATTGTCATAAAAGCTACATAGAATGAATGTAGAAAAACTTGAAAATCTATTTGTTTCATCATAAATTTTCAAACCTAAGTTAGATCCAGCAGCTCTACTCATTTTAAGGATGTTTTTGAATTTGAAGACGGAGAATTACTACTGAGAACTTAGAAGAACCTATTAAATATTTTAAAACTGTAGATACCTCATGAAACCAAATAATCTACTGCTTATATAATTTATGTTGGCCAAATAATTTCTAACTAGCTCACAATGGGATGAATTACTTTCAATTCTCATTGTTACAATCTCTACAAATTCATCCTATAAATTAATAATTCTGTTAAAGGTGCAAAAAAACAGTCTTTTAATACAATTAATATATATATCTGAATATATCTTACCATTATTCCAATTTAATTCTGTTATTCCTAATGATTTTGTCAATGAAACACAATCTTCACTAAGTCTTCTTTGTATATTTGAATTAGGATGATGATTTTTTTGAATTTGACAAGAACATGAATCGGTTGGTGATGATGTAACTGGTCTAGTACATACGAAATTCTTTGATTCTATTACTTCACAGTTGGTCGTTCGCAAACAACTGACATCATTGATAGTTGAATGATGATTACACGGATTATGTTCATTTCTCATATCGGTAATTCTAACAATGAAATATATATATATATATATATATATATATACAACATATACGTTATGTTAAGAATTTAGATATAAGCCTAGCAACTGTAATCGATACATAATTAATGGTTATAGAAATTTTGTTATCAATGAATTTGTTCATATTACTCACAAATTGGTTACTATACATTCTAGCGAACATATAGTTCGTTACATAATATGTATACCTTCTAACTTGTTATTAAGATTATGTAATAGGAGATTGTTCTTTGTGATTTACTAATTATTTTATAATATATAATATTATATTCGAAAGAATATATATGTATAGATAATTTTTCAATTAGATTTATGGAGTTAGTTAGATTTATTGGTTTTTTGCACAATGAAATCATTAATTAATCATTGTCAGACCACTATTAGAAACCTGAGAGCACTGAAAGACGACCGTTTCGTCCTGGTTTGTGCGCATCCAAGACTCCTGCATTTTGCAGGATTCGAATCCAGCACCTTTAGTCTTGCGCTTTGGACGCTTAACCACTGAACCATTAGGCCGGCATCCAAACGGTGTTAATGTCTAACTCTGATTGATCAAGGGATTTTGCGCGACCTCACCCATTTTTCGTTGGTAGTTACTGCCTACACCCGACAGGGTTGCACTCCACTGGATTTTTTTTCATTGAAATCATTGTTAGAACGGTCTTAAAAATCTGAAAGCACTAGAGAAACATTTAGTCCTAGTACGGGATTTATCAATAGTGCACAGCCCTCGCTTGCAAAAAATCGAACTCAATGTCTTCGGTCTCGCGAGCAAACCCCTTCAATTAGCTGGAATCTACAGGAGTTACTGTTTCAAGCTGCCCAAGGTATTATGCAACCTCATTCATTGTCATCGGTAGATAACTGCCTAAACTCAACAATATTCACAACTCTATAATAAAAAGTATATAAATTTTTCTTTCGTTAAAACATATTCCAAATCATTTTTCTTTGAATAAATAGTACAGTAATTATTTGTATAGAATCTTATTGCCAATTCACGATTTTCAATCTCATCAAGACCAATTTATACTTAATCATGATATATATCTTAATAGATATATATATTTCTTAATCGAATAAAAATGTTTACCAAGTAATACAAGTTCAATCAAATTACTCTTACAATTCAGTAATATTTTCATCTAATAATCTATGTTTTGCTTTAATCGGCTTTCTTGTTGTTGGCATAATTGTATTCAATAATATATGTCCTCCATTTTTACGAAGTTTTATTTTCTCTTGTAATTTCAACTTTTCATGATGTTGTTCATCATCATTAATAAATAAATGATTTTTTTTCAAATTTTTAACAACCGTAGTTGATTGTTCATTGGTTGATGTTGTTTGCACTTGAATAAATTCTTTGCGTATATGTTGTACACCCATACGTGGATATAATGGACGATGATATAGTGTATTTGTTGCATTCATTGAGATTCTTTTCAAGCTATGAAATAGATTAAAAGAAAGAGTTGTTATTTTGTTACTTATCATATGAAATACAGTATGAGGGATTTCTTTTATTTGAACAATAAAATTTTTCAAAATGAACAATTCTAGAATAGGTGAAATTCAGGACGCAAGTTCCCTCCCGTTCGGGACTCATCAGCTGTATGTAACTGCATTTCCGATTTGATTTTGTCCCTGGGAATCAAACCAGAACCGTTCATTTACTTGAATCGCTCTCTTATTATCTACTTAGTTACTATGTTCAGCTAGCTACTAACTTGTGCAACATTTCAAGTTGAATTAAGTTCTAAAATAAATAGAGCTATTATATAAATAATGGTTATCATTTAATGATAATTACTTGTTATAGATTTAACCGAATTGCAGTCATATTAAGTGCTTGGAAGCATTGAACAGCTGCTTAGTGAAAGCATGGGAACGTTCAAATGTTTACTTAAAAATTCAGATGAGACAGAGCATACGTTCATAAAAACAGCAACAAGAATCTAATGACCATTTTGTTCAACCAGGTGACTGGACTTATGAAGGAATTTTCGAGGTTCTGATGAAATGCCGTGATAAGTGGTGTTTCTCAGTGCCTGGAGTAACTTATTCACATAATAAACGCAATGGATGATGATAAATCAACAATGTGGATTTAGACATGAACATCATTAGATGCCAGTTCAGTGGTCAAGAGTTTACGCGTTTGCAATTATCATACAAATAATATGAGGTTTTCAAAATTCAGATGAAGTAAATTGAAACTACTGGATTATTTAATGTTAAATATTACTATTTAAACTTAAGTTCAATTGTCTTGGTTAATTATTGATTTACTATTGATTTACTATTGATTTACTACTACTACTTATTAAAATATCACGCAAAAAAAATCATAATTATTTTACAATTTTTTTCTTATATTAACAGATTCTTAATTATCGATGAATAACACGGAAAAATCAGCCGAATTTTTTAAATGTGAAATTGTTCGATTTAGTACATGTCGATTAACGATAAAAGAGTAAGATGTAAACTAAAACGAATGCCAGTATCATCTGAGTTATTAAATCTAGAAAATTCTTTACATCGTGGTGGTGTTTTGTTCTCTTAGCTACAAGTTTTCTCCACCATTTCGATTCTTTACATCGTTACATAGTTTTTAAACCATCGTTCGACAAAACATAGACATTATTTTGTTTTTATAATATTAAAGATTGAATTTTGAAATGCTAGTTTATATTGAATATTATTTAATCAAAATATGAATATGTTGTACTTTTAATCAATTTTAATTAGTTCCCACCCTTATTCATATATATTTTTTAAAATCTCCATTACAAATTAATTTTTTTTTATTATGGATCAATGATGTCGATATTGATATTGAGTTATAAGAAAATTTTAAAAAAAATTGAAAATAATCATTATATTATCAGCAAAAAAATCTTCAAATGTAAACGGTTTGTGTTTTCTTTTAATTTCTTAAGCTAACATTTTATATGTAGACTAGAATATAACCAGTTTCTTGAAGATAACGGTTATTTAAATATTGATATTTATGTTTGTATTAAATTAGGTGATAATATCAGGGATTAACTGATTAAAAAAAAGGTCACATTGATGACTTTAGTAGGTAATTAAGGATTAAATTAAACGGGAACTTGACAACTAAAAATAATTGAATGTACTTATAAAAATTAGTTGTTAGTTGATAAACAAACTAATTTTTTTTCTTTTTTATTCGAAAGGTCATAAAAATAACGGGTTATTGTTTTAAAAAGTTGATTTTTTTTTCAAATGTTATGGTCAGTATGAAAATGATTAATCACCGAATATAATGACGAATGTTTTATTTACTTAATGTTCAGTACTGACAGAATTTTATTGATTACACTGAAAAGTATCTAGGGGTTTGATTTTCGGTATGTCGAAATGGAGAACAAGTTACAGTAAATTTAGGTTTTTTCGCAAGTGGCAACATATCAATATCGAATCTCATAGGTTGAACATTTTACTGACAAGTTGCAATGAACATGAACATTGGACCAGGCTAAATTAGTGAAGATTTTTTTCAAAATTAATTTGATATTATTTTAAATATAACATCTCTATACTAATTTAGATACATTTACTTTAATACAGGAGGAGTCTAAGTTTTATGCACCACACAGATTGAATTTGTCAGTGGGTTTGGGATACTGCACAGACAACCAAACTGAAGTTAGAAAAATATAATGTGATTTCATATATTGGATTTAATACAGTAAATATATGCATACTAAGTAGCCTGAATATTAAGATATTAAATAATATTCGGTCGGGAGTAATCATATTAATCATAATTTCGCTATTCAGTACTCCCTATCTCCATTTTATCGTCCATAATTAAAGATGATATGAATCAATCTGATAAAAAACTAGTTACGATATGTAGTACATCGTCGCTACAGCAACAAGATATTTATTTAGAGAGAATTAACAGATTCTGATTGATACCTTGTGATTTATGTACTTCCCAAACAATTTTTGAAATAGATCACGTCAGGAAATGTAACATGACATATCTTATCTTTTACATTAAACATTTCATATCTACGAGACGAGATGACCACGCCTGTAAATCGACGTAACTTCTGTAATTATTATTTTCAAAATATAATACTAATATTATTATTATTAGTAGTAGTATACTAACGTTTATTCATTAGTTTTTTTCATTCTCTGTTGTAACATTATTTAATAGTTGAGTAAAAAAGTTTTTTTACACTAAAACATGTTTTAATGGATTATGGAAAAGGGATTATTGAAAGAACATCATGATTGTTCAGTTTAACCTGTTATGAGATTTATTAATTCAAATGCAGTGTTCATTACTAACAAGTTAACATGACTCAAAATTTAAACGAATGTTAGAATAGATAAATAGATTAATCTGACTGACATCAGATCGATAGATTGATGTGGACAACAGAAATGAGTATAAATATGAATATTTTCAGTTTGAGTATTTGGAGGTTTGTGTTTTTACACATTTAAAATCACCAGTCAATCATTGTTAGACCATCATTAGAAACATGGAAGCACTGGATGTGTAAGAACAAAAACCTCCAAATACTCAAACTGAAAATACCGTTGGATGCCGGCACAGTAGTCCGATGGTTAGGCGTTCGCGCACAATACTGAAGGTCCTAGGTTCGAATCCTGCGAGTGGCAGGAGTCGTTGATGCGCACTTCTGGTGAGTCCCATACCAGGACGAAACGGCCGTCCAGTGCTTTCAGGTTTCTAATAGTGGTCTAAGAATGACTGATTAATGATTTCAAATGTGTATAAATATGAAGTTGATAAGAAACACAATGTTAACTATTCTTTTTTAAATATACAATAACGATTCAAGACAAGAAAATATTCACTTGTAAATGTTGATTCAGTTTTTAAAAAAATGCTAAGCACTTTTTTAAAGATCTGGCAGTCTTGGTCCAGTTGTTCGCAGAGTTGTAAACAACCTGTACTAGGATTAAAACAACTATTCAATTCTCATATTTTAATCGGTAACTGAGATCCATTCACAATGTCAACAATCATACTGATGAGTTGGATACCAATTGAAAAAGGTGACATTCAATCGATCTCATGGTTAAATATTGTTGATAAACATAACTGCAGATGTTTATTATCTCATTGCTTACAAAAATAATAAAGGAACAATTTAAAATACTACTAGCCCCTCCTCGTTTAACAACTATTGTTTAACTTAGTAATAACATTCAGGTTTTTACGACTAACAAATACGGAGATGAATAATTAGAAAATTTTGTTATATATATATAAATGTTTTTTTTACGTAATCTGTGTTAAATATAAAACTGAATTTTAATTTAATCAACTTACCACTTAGTTGTTCTGAATGATTGTAAATCCGAGAAAATAAACAGTTTGTTATAAATCCGAGTTTGTAAAAAATGTACACGTAGTATGATTTGACAATTTAATAAGGATTATTTTTTAACTAAAAGCTAAAAATGAGTTTAACTGATTTATATGACAGTGTTCTCGATAAATAACATTTTCTTATTGGTCAATATTTAAGATTGCAAAGTGGAAAAGGGTTGGGGATGAGGGAAGAAAAGTTTTAAACGTACGATTAATTTGATTGGCTAGTTAAAAGCAACATTCTACATGAGATAAATGTGTAACTTGTAAATGGTTTTTTTGGGTAGGTGGGGGGTTAATTACTCAGGTTGGTGAAAACTAAGATTAAATGACGGAATGGAAAATATTTGAAATTAGATATTAACAGTATTGGATACAGTTTCATGTGGTCAAAAGGTTACATTTTGGAGCGCGAAATCGAAGCTTCAAGTTCCAACTCAAGCCTGTGGAAGTCGGAGATGTATAGTATTGAAGTATTCCACATTAGGACGAAAAGGCAGTTTAGTATTATGAAGTCATTAACTGTTACATAACATTGATCGACTCATGATTTTAATGAAAATTAACAATCTCTACAATCCTATAATGAAAAATAAATAACTGAACAAAAATTGATATCGACAGTATGATGTTACCAATGTATTGAGATATCAACCTGTTTAGATGAATTCATTAAAAGCTCAATAAATTTAAATTACTCGTTTACGTCTTACTATTTCGAATACCTAAAGCAAAACACCTATATCAAGCCGATTATTGATATGGTAACCATTTGGATTGTCAGTGATTTTTATTGCAATTAGTTCAATTAATGTATGCATTTAACATTGATATTAAACACAGGATAGATTAACTGCTGTTGAACGAGGGTTTGCTTGACGAAATGTCTGAGTATTATCTGTACAAACAAGTTGAATACATTTCTGATTAGTTTCTATCAGTGATGTTTAGATAGGTTATATTATTTCAGTTTGGGACTTACCAGTTGGATTACATTGACACAGGATTATCATCATACTGAAATTAGGACTTTGGATGTACAGAT